AATAGTATGTGGCCACAAATCCACCAAATTAAAATCCACCAAACACCAAAATTTAGCAATTTACTCCCTTCAAAATTTCCCACTATACTGTACTACTATAAATCTTCAATTTTTTCTACTCATAATTCTTTTAATATTACCCCTATGTATAGGTGGAACCAATGATGTGATAGACTTCTGGTCAAACCCAGGTATATCACAAAAATAATTAAAATTATTATTTAATGTCACTATGAATAGGCTACACACTCTCTCGTCTGCCAATGGGAGGTACCACAAGTTGTCTAGCAACCATTGTCTTACCTAAGAGCTCATCTCAACCAAAGACTCTACAATTATTTGATACGTTAAAAGAGGTTATTGGTAGGACTGATACTGGCGGTGCTGTACTGGAAGGAATTAATGCTGAAGTAATGTGACATGATATTAATTTAGTTATGAGCATTTTTATTACTTTGAAAAATTGATTTACCTTAATTAAAATGATAGCTTCATTAAATTATTTATTTAAGTTGATAATGTTTAGAGTTATGGACTACTAAAATGATAAAAATAGCATATACATGTATCTAGTCATGATATTTTGATTGATATCCTTATGCTGCACAAAAAGTCTTCTGAACTACCATAATTATTCTGACTTAAGTTTTGAGCATTTTAAAGCACTATTAAGCATGGGCCAAATAAAATGTGTTCAGAAGTACAAATCCTTTATTACCCTATCTATATTATACTGTACAAGATGATTTATTGGCAAGAGTAATATTTGGCAAATTTGCCTGTGGAAAGTCAATTGGTGGATTTTATATTGGCAATTTTGTACCACGTGCCATTGAGCATGCTCAGATCGAAACAAAATGGCAGATTTTATATTGGTGATTTCTTCATAGAACTGCCAATTGCCTATATTAATTCCTTTGCCAATAAATCATCTTGTATGGTATATTACCAATAATAATTGTCCTAGGGTCCTCTAGTGAATGATTTTGGTGGTCTCCCTGAGAGTGAGAGGGACATGACAGAGACTGACTTTGAGTTATTAATAGACTCAATACCATCAATCAAGATAATGACTATTAGCCCACACATTGAGGCCAGACACAATTATAAAAGACTAAAACTACTAATTAAAAAGTAAGTAAGTAACAATATAAGTTTATTTATTTATTTCCTTATTTATTTTATTCATTTATATATTTATTTGATTATTCAATTATTTATTTATTTTTAAAATTACTATAGAGGTATAAAGCCTTCATTGGGGCATGATAAAGAAGCAAGTGAGAGTGAGATATTAGATGCTTTGAGACTATCAAAGGAACCAATGCATATTACACATTTATTTAATGTATGCAGCTTTCATCATAGGTAAGACAAGCCACACATAATTTCATATTATATCTCGTAATTTTCCTTTGGCACATATCTCCTTCCTTTTCATCTTTTGTCCTTCTATTATGAATATGTTACTTTTGTATTTCTTCTCTCTCTCCCTCTCTCTCTTTCTCTCACTCTTTTCTTTTCTGTAGACTCCCAGGATTAGTTAACATTGGTTTAGCATCAGTATATCCTAATTTACCAGAATATACTGACATAATACTGCCAACTGTTGAAGTAATAGGAGACTTGGCACATGTGTAAGAATTAACAAGTAATGTATATAATTTATGGCCAATACCATACAAGATAATTTATTGGTGAGAGTGAATTGCCTATGGAAAGTTAATGGCGAATTTTGTTTTGACAATTTT